CTAAGAACATCTCTTCCCAACTCTGCCGTTTACTTTTCGATGTAGACTTGCTTTGTCACTCTTTCTTCGTTCATTCTTTCTATATGACCAAACCACAATATTGGTCAAATAATTCTTTTCCACTCAACTGATTTCATGATTGTATTCTTTTTAGTTTGAAGTTGGTTTTTAAGTTTTCAAAAGTTTATCACTATGTTGACGCAATATGCAAACTTATAATACTTAGTTTATTGTATTTCAATGTAAGTAACAGTAATATAAAATTAATGAGGACTTCAAAATAAATCTTTTATTCAACGTTAAATCGGAATACTAATCCACATTATTTAAAAATTTTCGTCAGCTTAATTAAATTTATTGTTTAAGCAATGGCACTGGCATTTGTAATCGTAACCTGTACGAGAATAGAATTTAAATTATTCCTAAAATTAAAAGCGTAACCGAAAGACGTAAACTCGAATTTGGAGTAGGAATAGAATTATTATTTATAAATTAACAACATGACATATTTTCTAAGTTATATTTATAGTATATTATCGATTCATATTTTAGAAGAGTAATAATGGAAAGTACTTATTATTATAAACAAAGCGATATCTTGTCTCACTGCAATGAACTTGCATTTAATTAATTTTACGAATTTTATTAACTTCAACAATGTCAAAGTAGAGGCGAAATCCAGCAGTTGACAACAGTGGACAGACGCGAGCTATAAACAACTGACAGTATGTAATATGTCAAAACAAACACTAGATGAACCAGCAAAAAAGTAATATAAGGAATTATTTGCAGCGTTGAGGATTGCCTGTTTAAAATCAATATTGGGAAGACTGATTTAGAGACCATACGTCTAGAAAATTTTGTCTTAGTTACGTCGTAGCTCAGCGCCGAAACTAAATCTCTTCTCTATTAGAGATGCATTTAAAGTGATAAAAAACTTATGCAACAAACCAGAGCTTACGATTCTTCGCGCAGATAAAGGAAATGCTACTATATTAATGTATTCATCAGATTATAATTTTTATGGAATTAGAGGCAATTTTTTGATTTATCTTGATGGCTGATGTTTTAGACATTGAAAATCCTAAAAACATCATTAATTATACTGTTCCTTCATCACTATCTTTCAATTAACTAATATAGGAAACACTTTGTTTCTTAGAGCACAAACAATCTGTAGTAGTAAACACCTGGTCGCCGAGCTTCAGCACGTCAGCTAGTATTGAACGGTAACAAGCTTTGGTTTCCGTGCCTACGTCACAGTGACAGTGAAACAGGCTACATTTGAGCGCGTGCCTGCTGTATCATCATATTTCAGAGCGGTACAGATAAGATCGGTAACATCTAGAAGCGAGCTTCTATTAGAAAATTCTATACGCCAACGAAGAAGATTAGTCAGATCTTACCATCCGTCAAGTATAATATCCCCCTACAATACGAAGGTGTGTACAATTTTGATTGTGGTCTCTCTTATTAGGGCAAACAAAACAATCTATAAAAACCCGCGTAAAAACATATAGCTGAAGTCAAAGTAATATAGTTGTAAGTCTGCAGTCTGTTATCATATCCTTAAAGAATGTCCCATTACATATTTGATAAATCGTGAGCAGTAAACGTGATAAAATCTGTAATAAAGTTTTACTCAAAATGTAAAATACTACAAATATTATAAACTAGTATTAAATTCATTATGTGGTAGAGCTATGCTGCAGCTTTATAGTTGTAGTGTAAATGGATCGGCTCGATGGATGCAGGACCAATCCCTTACCGATTACCAGCGTAAAATAGAACTTTAACCGGAAACTCATTTTACTGCAAATGAGACATTCCATCTTAGTCCTCTGAGGTAGTTATCCATCAGTATTTTTTTTGCAAATAGTATGAACTGAGAAAACGGGTGCGAATCTGAAAATGAAAGCGGTTTTAAAGGTAGCTATTAAAAACCGATAAGATTCCTGATCAATGATATTTACGACGAACGTAGTGAGTGGTTTTTTGAACTTGACCTTTTTTATCTGATTTAATTAAACATTCTACTAGTAATCTTTTTTAAGATTTGATTACTTCGCCTTTGGCGTATTTCCTCAATTTAGGGTCTGTCCTTGCTGCCTTAGCCAGTATTGGAATCCCCGGCCAGCGTCGACATATCGAATGAGGCACAGATCTACGTTCACTTGGAAGGGAATATAAATTGGCCTCTAACAAGCTTGGTGTGCTCAGCAGAGCGGAATAATATTTTATGAGGAGCAGCTCGAATCGTCGGCAATTGAGTCATTTGTTGCTTGATTCACTATTGCTGCGAAGAAAAGTTAGAGTTACTGCGATTTTGGTGAAAAATTATCATAGAAAAAATCACTAAATGCCTGATGATATGTTTATATTTTATTACTTCACAAGGGAACGGAAGGTCCTTTGCGAGTTATTTATGCTGAGTTTTATCTTTGTTATACAACTGTTGAATATTTTGTATTCTAAATGTTCTAAAGGTTAGCACGATTACGTTATATTACAAAACACTCATAGTATGATAAATTGCCATATCTTTTATATTTGGTGTTATATTTAAACTTTTCCTTTACAATTTTATAGGAAGGGTTTTATACCAGGGGTGATGTATAGATGAAAATTTTACTACTTCTGTTGGTATTTAAGTATCGTATAAGTTGTTTTAATCGACTCTACAATAGTGAAATTGCATTGTCTATTGTGCCGTTCAAAATATCGTGAGACCATGTAAAATTATGAAGCACTCGTGATATAGAAGAGAAACCAGCTAAATGGAACATAAGCTTAGCCTTTGGTTGAACTGGTAGTATGGTACTCGACAAAATCTGTGAAAACACTAAGAGTAACACGATAGGGCTCTTCAGGCACTAAAGGGTCGGTGCATTTTGTTGCGCATAAGTGATTATTACTAAAGATTAAGTCAAATATTCTGTTGTTAACATTGTCATGGGAGTCATATTGCTGCAGCTTTCACGTATTTAAGTTATCAAAAAAGTCGCACTGAACTGACCCCTTAATGTTTTCTGGACAAAGAGAGTATTCATCATCATCAAGAGTCCAAGATATATTTGGCAGATTGAAATCTCCCAAAATAATGAAGGCATCAGTTAAATTGGCCGTTACTATCTCGTATACTTTTGTATAAAAATAAGCTTATAATTTTGTATTAAAAACAGGTGCAGATAATGAGATTTTATCTGTATAAATAAATCGTACAAATATATAATTTATATGTCATTTCAGTCTAGAACGCCTAATAGTTTACGATACCCATATGCCTTCAGCAGAAGAACGCCGTTCAATCCACTCCTCCACTACAATCTCACGCCTAAAAGCAATAAGCACAACAACTCCCAACTTTAATATGTACTATTGTAGTTCCTATCACGTCTACAAACAACATAGCGGTCATCAAAGAGTTCGTTACTACAAAAGTCATCGTTAAGCCACATTTTGATAGTATATTTCAAAAGCCATCATTAGAACTAAACAAAAACACGGAAATAGCGACGAAAATAACATAACATAAAATAAGGTCCGATGCATCTAAAGTGTTGTGATGAATAAATAATATTTATAAAAACAACAACTACATACAACTATTTAACTACACCAAATTACAGCGTCAAGTTCATCAAATTATAGCAATCGTTAAAGAAATAAGATGCATAGTATATAGAAATATTGAATATATAAGTCACAGTAAAATACCGCAAGAAGTAACTTAAGATTTTCCAAGTTAACGCTATCGTAATTAATATCATATGTTGTAACGTACAAATAACAAATGTACATACCGAGCAGCTATTAAGCCAAGCAAGAACAAAATAACAACGTGTAACGCCAGTGATAATATAAATAAATAGAAAACACCTAACGTAACAAAAACTTCTTCCTCAAATTAATATAGAAATAAACTAATTAGATATTTAGAAATAAACCAATATTCAGAAAATCTTCTTTAAATCTGCTTTCGTTTTTGATCGCATTTATAGAAGGTGTCGCATTCTTATTCATTAGAATTGTGCAGTTTATCACCCACGTATAAGAAATTTTTTTCTCCCTATCAAGAGCTTTCATCTTATTAAGTAGCTGTTTATTCTAAAAGGTAAGGTGGTCCTTGATAAAAATCCTGCCATCAGTGCTCAATGCTAAATCCGCAAAAGTTAAAGATTTACATTTTTAGCAGCAGCTATAAAATGATCTCTCAGGTAACGGGTGTGAAGTAACACTCATTGTGTTTTTGCTGTTTTAATTATTACGATGAGGTACTCTTACGATGTAGTTAATTTGTTTCTTGGGAACTTCGTAACCTACTCTACTACCAATATTGGAGATAACAGTAAAAAGATTCTTAGAAGAGGTTACAGAAACGCCTTTGATCTGGATGTTGTTTAGGCGCGATTTTTCGCGTACAGCAGCCTCAAGCTTCTCCAATCGATGTTTAACACGTACATCATCTTTACTTTTTAAAAGAGACTGAATTTCACGACCAATCGCGGTCAGTTTGTTAGTAAGTCCCTTAACTAAGGTATGCACATGGTTCAAAGAGTTTTTAAAGTCCATCATTTCACTCTTCACAACCTTAAGATCTGAAAGATTAGCCTGGATAGTTTTGACACTCGCAACTAACTGTGGTAACGAAGACGATATTTGTTTGGTAATCTTACCTAGCTTAAAACGAATATTCTCCGGATCACCGTGAGATGGTACTCTTCCTTGTACTATTTTGTCTGAATAAAGATTGGGACACGTAGCGCTGTCTTACAGGTACTGCATTTCCAAGTAGCCTTTCTGGCCCCAAGCTTACAATATCCTGAGCCTCTCTTATTCATGCACATGGGAAATCAAAACGGTTGGGGCACATCATACACAGCATACAATCCCTGACTTTACTATTGCATCGGTGACACATAAACATGTTCGATAAGATAAAATTTGAGAATCTTTGACTACAAAAACACTAGTATTCCAATGGCAACAGCGTAATGCATATGTTTGTTGTGTTTATTGTCTATCGGCTGACTTCTGCTACCGTTGCTGCTACCGCTGCTGCTACCGCTGCCGCTACCGCTGCCGCTACCTCTGCCGCTACCGCTGCCGCTACCGCTGCCGCTACCGCTGCCGCTACCGCTGCCGCTACCGCTGCCGCTACCGCTGCCGCTACCGCTGCCGCTACCGCTGCCGGTACCGCTGCCGCTACCGCTGCCGCTACCGCTGCCGCTACGCTGCCGCTACCGCTGCCGCTACCGCTGCCGCTACCGCTGCCGCTACCGCTGCCGCTACCGCTGCCGCTACCGCTGCCGCTACCGCTGCCGCTACCGCTGCCGCTACCGCTGCCGCTACCGCTGCCGCTACCGCTGCCGCTACCGCTGCCGCTACCGCTGCCGCTACCGCTGCCGCTACCGCTGCCGCTACCGCTGCCGCTACCGCTGCTGCTACCGGTATTGTTACCACTGCTGTCGCTAGCACTGCCGCTGCCACTGCCGCTGCCGCTGCCGCTGACACCAACGCAACTCCGCCACCGACACCACCGCCACCAAAAAAATTAATAATTTCGTTCTACACAAAAATCGAACTAATATTTTATTTATGCTTGTCATAAAAAGAATACATTTTTTTCTATTATAATATTTTTTTTTTTCAAAAAAAACAACATAATTATGAGTGACATTATTATTTTATATGACAATATAACACGTTTTCTGTTCCTAAGTAGGTCAACGCTTGGCCACAAATCTGCCTGATGTTAAGTGCCTTTGCAGTCCAAGATAACAAGAATGTTAAATTGTGCTTGTATAATACTATAATTTCTGCCTCAATAAAGTTTGACGTTACTTAGTTGGTGTACCATACATGAATAATTATTTATATATACAAATGTGATAATTAGTGTTAGGACTTCAATAAAACTTGAACTCAAAGGGATAATGATATAATATCTGAAAAATATAGCGTTGTTTATGTTTTTCAAAATTTTGCATTTTTGGCAAATTTGTTGCCTAAAATACCCGCGTGACCCGAAACCCATCGTAAGACGACCCTGTTGTTACATCCCAGGGCCATTAAATGATTCACGCAGTCTCAAACTAGCTTCGAGTTCACTAAGTTTGACCTCAGCGCTAGCAGTGCTGCTTGACTATCAGAATTTATATAAATTATATGGATGACGTAGTGTTTTTGCAGATTGATTTCCGCACACTGAAGTACGGTAAAAATTTCTGCCTGGAAGATAGAGGTAAATCTACCCAAATTCATACTAAGTTTGTATTTGGGGCGTTCCCCGTAAATTCGAAAGCCTACGTCTAGGCCCATTTTAGACCCATCGGTATACCATATGAAGCTACCGACCTCACAGATAACCTGACCGTTCAGCCAGTTTTTTCTGGAGAGTAATTCCACTATATACTTTTATCAAAAGTGTGTAGTGGCCGCATGACATCTGCGATCATGCATAAGACCGGTGTTTCCTTAATTGAGTCGACCATGGATCTCAATCTATAGGAGAGCAAGCTCAGACCGCCCTGAGTGTTAATCCTATACAGACTAGCCCTCGCGTTGTCTTGATAAAGATCAAGGGGCTTTAGGCATAGAAGTGCATTAAGAGCCGCTCCAGGTAATGATCGTATAGCACCAGTTGCCATTAGCAGGCAGTACTTTGTAGACTATTTAGTCTATCCGCAGTCGTCTTTTGATGGGCCTGGTTACACCAGACAATAGAAGCGTAGGATGTTATGCTGCTGTACGGTCATAGGATCATACTGGGATGCAAGCCCCAGTTGTTCCCGTCCAAACGACTGCACGTACCTAAAGCAATTTTTGCCTTATGGCATACATTGCTAAGGTGAGAGTTCCACGTTAGTTTTTGGTCGATTGTTACGTCCAAGTACTTAACTTCCGTGGAAAATGGTACTTCTTTGCCATTAAGTTTTGGTTGGACTAATTTTTCCAACCGTCTCTTTTTGGCAAAGAATATTATAACAGTTTTATCAGCATTAACTGATAAACTGTTATCCCTACACAAGTTATTTATGGTGTTTAGGGATCTTTGTATTATTGACGATAAAGTACTGTGGCAAAAGCCCCTCGCAATGATCACAAGGTCATCAGCATAACCCAATGTGTCAATGCGTAGGTCTGCCATTTTGTAAAATAGTTGGTCAACCCCAAGAGTCCAAAAAAGGGGGACAAAATACCTTCTTGTGGGCAGCATCTTGTAGATGCAACCTCAATCGAAGTTTGAAACAGCGCTATTTTTGCCTTTCCGTTTGAGAGCATCGACTTCAACCATCTGATGGTTGTTGGGTCAACATTTTTAGATGTCAGGCACCCAATCAGCAGTGATATGGGGCTACTGTCGAAGGCGCCCTCAATATCTAGAAAGGCATAAAGAGCTATTTCTTTATCCTCCAGTGCTTGTTCAACCCTGTCAATGACACTGATCAGGGCTGTTTCCGTTTCCGATTTGCCTCTGCGGTAAGCATGCTTGATTTGTTTTGTTTGGGCCTCGTAGCTAGAGTTACATCCCTTATATATCTATCTATAATCTTTTCCAACGTCTTAAGGAGAAAGGAAGATAGGCTTATGGGTCTAAAGGACTTTGGTAAAGCGTAGTCCTTTCTACCAACCTTAGTTGTAAATAGAACTTTGATAATTGTCAATCGTTCTGGAATATATCCCCACGCAAAACTTACTCTGCAGATTTTCACCAGATAGGGAAGAAGGATGTCAATACCCTGTACTTGGATGGGAATTATTCCATCCTTGCCGCTTGTTTTAAATGATTTAAAAGAGTCAACAGCCCACTACACCAGGTTTGGCCTTATTATCTTTGCAACCCTACACCAGTCCTCATAACGGGGCCTTCGTAGGTCTCTGAAAGAATTCAAGGCTGAAGTCTTGTGTGACCCTGGGAAATGGGTTGACGCTAGTTACTCCAATGTTTCTGTTTTACTATTAGTGAAGTTACCATCAGGCTTTTTAAGTTTAGCTTTTGATAGCATTTGGTGTAGTCTTGCACTGCGAGGCAAAGACTGAACATCCTCGCATAGCTTCCTCTACGATACTCTCTTGGCTTTCCTAATTTTTTATTATATTCAGTTAGGGCTGCACAATATGTATCCCACACTTTGGTTTTCTTAGCCCTATTAAATGGTTTCCTTATCTTTTCCCTAAGTTCTTTTAGCTTAGTATTCCACCAAGGAACTTTTCGTGTTGAGGTCTTGGTTTAGACGGGACAACCGTCCTCGAAAGCTTCACGTATACCTACGGTTACTGTCTCCGTCGACAAGTCCAGACCTTCAATGGTTTTGATGTTATTAGGAAACGTTTACAAATTCCTGCTTAGGCTATCTCTGTAGATATCCCAGGAGGTCGCTTTTGGATCCCTATAAGTAACGGTTTCATCGGTTGTTGACGCTCTATTCACAAACATAATGTGTTTGTGATCAGACATCGAGTTTTCACTACTAACATGCCAGTCATTTATTCGCCTGGACATGTTATTTGTAGTAAAGGTTATGTCTAACACTTCTTGCCTACCACGCGTAACAAAGGTTCATGTATACCCTAAGTTTAGGCTTACCAGGCGGTTGGAGATGAGAAAATCATAAAGTAACTCACCTCTTTCGTTGATGTTAGTGCTTCCTCAGGCTGTGTGGTGAGCATTAGCATCACAGCCCACCAATTGCTACTCGCACTTATTCGATGGTAGGATCTAAATTCTTTCCGGGAAGATAGGATAAGAAAATGATTACTCTGGACCCCGTGCATCCCTTGAGATTTATGAAGGCTGTAACCAGGTCATCATTGCAGTGCTCTGGAACAGCTATAAGTTCAATATTTTCATTGTAAATTATACAAGCTCTGAGTCTACTGCCTTTAGCATTGACAAGAATTTTACAGGCAGCCGACAATCTCAGAACTTGACCGTTGGTTACCCAAGGCTCTTGTATGAGGGCGAGGTCAATGTTGTCCTCTGCAAAGCAAACCTCCACCACGGAAGAAGTAGACGCTGCGTGGTAAAGATTTGCCTAGAGGACCTTCGTCTTACCCTTGGGGGTAGTCATTTATGAGCCTGGGGGTAAGGGCAGGGATCTTTTCCGTCTATTGTGGATGAAGACGTCCTTTACCGGCGCTCTTAACCCCCACCTTACCTTTCGCTGTACCGCTCCCACCTCCCTTCGTGAGGAAGGGAGGTGGGAGCTGTACGACGCCAGCGGTAGCCGTTGGACCGAGGCGAGATCAGCGCTTTTTATTTTTCAAAAATTTGTATTAGTATTGAATTTGTTTTATTTCAAAACATTATTAAAATATTATGCGGTTGTGCACTCAACTGACAGCATCAGTGGTTTCTTTTTCTTTTCTTCTTAATTTTTTTTATCGTGCAGATTTTTTTCGCTTAAGCGGTAATAGTATTTTAGGCAATCTACATTATAGTAAAATTAAACCTTCTCTATACATTGAACAAAGGCCGTTCATTTTAAAAGGTCATTCCGTTTGGGTTGGAATGAACCATCATTAGAGACCGCACACGAGTAAAGAACTGTGACTAATGTTTTGATACGGTTCAGGAAAAGTGTAAAAGTTGTTTATAAAAGGGATCTGTATATTCGATAGAAAGCTATTTACGTTAATACCCAAATTCTGTTGAAATGTACTATAATCGATTTTACCTAAGAGGCTTAAAATAGCATTGTTTTTTGATAGAATGTTATTCCGAAATACTGTCCCTAAGTCGTAACAATCCAGAAAACCGCTGACAACAATAAATTTATGAGATTAGTCGTGCGAAGCAGAAAATTTCGCGTAAATCGTACAGTAGCGGACCGCCAGCCGTCGAGGTGAAGAGAATGGAATTTCGAGCTCTGTCGCAGTCTACAATGGTGAAATTCAACAACTGGACTTTCTCTTTCTCCAAAAATTTCTTCTGAGCACTTCCCGTGGTATCTATGCATAATAGAGATGCAACTCACAACAAGAAACTTAATCGTCAACGATTCGGGCCGCTCTCCGTTGAATACGGACAAGTGGAAGGAACTGATACTGGGGTGGGAGATGAGAACAATATACCATATGATGCTAAACTCGCGCTTTGTAGAGCTGCAAGCAGTGGGCCGGCATAAAACATAGTCTCAATGTAATGAGCATACCAAGCTTTTTTAATTCCAGTTTAGCATTCCCTTCGTGCGGAAATGTACGTCTCTCAAAATGTCGACGTCAAAGATTCCGATGCTGGCTGAGGCAAGGAGTAAACGCGCTAACTTGTGCCGTTTGGGGGTTAAACTGGACTAAATGTGGTTACCCCCATTCTGAGACTTTATTTACAAAGACTCGACTACATACACAAGTTTGTTCCGGCACTCAACGACGTCTTCCTGAGAAATATTAGATCGACCGGTGTATAAAGAATTGCCAGTGCTATTGTCTGCAAAATAATGAATAGTCTAGTGTGCAACAAATCATTAATATGCAGAAGGAACGTAGTAGAAAATAGCACGCACTCTTGTGGAATACCATCATTCACAGGCTTGGGGAGTTGGAGCATGCACCG